ATCATAGAATGGTTTGGGTTGGAAGAGACCTTCCAAGATCAACTAGTCCAAACCCCTGCAATGAGCAGGGACATCTTCAACTAGATCAAGTTGCCCAGACCCACATCCAGCCTGGCCTTGAATGTCTCGAGGGACGGTGCATCCAATACCTCTATGGGTAACCTGTGCCAGTATTTTACCACCCTCATTGTAAAGAATTTTTTCCTCACATCCAGCTTGAATCTCCCCTCTTTTAGTTTAAAACTATGACCCCTTGTCCTATTGCAATATGCCCTGCTAAAAAGTCTTTCCCCATCTTTCTTATAGCCCCCTGTAGGTACGGAAAGGCTGCTATGAGGTCTCCCCAGAGCCTTCTCTTCTCCAGGCTGAACAACCCCAACTCTCTCAGATTTTCCTCACAGGATTGATGCTCCAGCCCTTTTTACAAAGGGATGAACTTCTGTACTATGTGTCCGCATCCTTTTTCGTTTTGGGAGGAATAGGGATATGATTTTAGCAGTTTCACTCTCAAAAAGAGCATCCCAAATGCTAAGTCAGCTTTGGGGTCTTCAATAACCAGATCAATGAGGTAGCAGCCAAAGCCAATACAGGGGCCTGACGCAACATATTGATTTTTGGTGGCAGTGATCCCTCCAGACCCTCAAGAAATAATAAACCACTCAAACTGAAGTCTGAGAAAAAGCAACTGGTCCACAGGCCCTAAGGATGTCTTGGTTTCATTTCCACTGTAAATAAACCTCAGGCAGCATGAATGCCGGCATACAAATACCAGTTGTCCCTAGAAATAATTCATAATATAGAATTCCACAGTCAAGAAATGACAGATGGAAATAAATGGTTTTATTTCTCTGTAAGACTGGCCATTGGTCAGTAAATTTTTTTCTCACCCTCAAAAAAACAAACCCCTCCTCCCCAAAGTCTCCAAAAACATGAACATTAAAGAAAAATGCACTTGTCAAGTCACTTGGGTGAAAGCAAGAACCCTGTAATTAGTATAGCAATCAATTTTTAAAGCTTGCTGCAAAAAATTATGCTCGTGAACAAAATGTTTCTCTGCAAATTGAAATTGGTGCCTGTTTAGCATAGAGAAAAATAATTGAATGGGTGGCTCAGCTTTCATGTTTTCAGAGAGTAGCAGGTTGTCCTCATTGGATTCTATCAGGGATCAAAAACCAATGCTATGACTACACCTGCTTGTGCCAGCCGAGCACTGAAATAAATCATCAGCTTCCTTTTAGACATGTGGTGATGGACAGGAAAAGCATTTGCCAGGCCAGACTATCTGGCCAATAAGTACCTGGAGACAGAATAAACTAGCAGCACCTATTAGCAAGTAATGCTTCTGTAAAGAGAGATTAGCCTAGTGACTAAGCGGCACTTGCCTTTCTCTGGTTCAGGGTAAACTTCAATGGGACACTCACAGTTTAAAGGTTCATCCAAGCATGCCAGGATCCACACTTACATTGCATAGCTGTTTGGTGCATTAAGGAGGCAACAAGAGAACTAAACCCTGCAGAAACCCAGCATTCACATTACTAAAACACAGGTGAAGACCTAGCTCCTCTGCCTGTGCCTCACTGTAGGAACGAGTGTTAGGTAGCATCTGCAATCTCTGCATGTTCACAGCAGTTCTCCTGGCAGCTGCTCAACTAAGTTGCTGAAGTACAATGGTGGCAGCTACTGTTCTGCTGCAGCCCTTCCTCTTGTTATTAAATACAGCACCACTGATAGCATAAAATGGAGTCATACTTTTTCATAAAAAATTAGATCAATTTAAATTATTGTACATATGAAAATTACTAACCTCCAGAAATGAGCTGACCATGATCTGGTCCTTCTTGGTTCCCCCATTTTCGCCCTTCCTAGATACATAGCTCATTTGTCTGTTGATCATATTTTCTAAAGGACATTTTAAAAACACCTGGTTACAAGCCTCAATTGCAAACTGGACTGATCTCCTTTGCTTTCTAAAAATCCCTTTCTAGTTTATTACTGCATACATTTTTCATCAGCCATTACTTTGTTTATTCATGATCTCTTGCTCCATGACCACATTGTAATTGCAGAGACATTTACATTCAGGGTCTCAGAGTGATTTTTGACTCCATCAACCATGAATGCAGGCTTGGTGGGAGGGTGACCAGTCAATCAGGGATCTGGGAGGAGCACAAAGGTATCCTCAGTGTCATTGAGTTGGACAGGTATGTGCTGACCAAGCAAAACCACCAGCTGATCACAACCTGCCAGCTTTGGAAGCAACACAACAAAAAGCATTAGTGGCAAAGCTCCTCTCCCCCCACACCCAGCCTATGCAAAGCCTGCAGTTGCTGCCAGTACTGGGGAGGCAATTTCAGATTTCATTGAAGCTCCTGGTCAGGCAGACTTGGGGTACCTGCTCTCCAGGCAGCCAGGCAAAGGAGCTGCAGCCCTCTTGGCAACAGCCTACAAAAAATTATCTGCCCACACTTACACATGGCAGCCAGCATGGCAAGTCTGGATGGGAGAGCACCTTTGGGCTTGACAGTGTAAACATATGTCGGGTGCACTGTAGAGGCCCTGGAACGCAGGGCTCCACCAGGAAGCACAGGGAAGGTTTCTGTAGCAAACAGTCTCTGAAGCATCACATTGCCATGCACTGGGACCCATGTACTAACAACCCATGGGCACAGGCATCTTTTTTGACACAGCAAATTTCCAAGGGTTTGAAGAGCTGTTAAAAATACTTATTCTCCAGGGTTTTAGCTTTCCAACTTCTATGCAAACTAACAACCAAATTGTGGGCAGCAAGAGTAAGCATTTGTTTATTTTGTAAGAGGACTACTCGCTGCTAATTGAAAACAAGCATTTTCAATGAGGCAGCTGTTTCAGTACTGTGAATAGACAGATCAACATCACATTGAAGATCTAATAACCCACTAATGAACCTTAATTTCTGGAGCCCCCTCCCTCACCCATTTCCGAATTTCAGTAATTTCAATGCCATTACTATGTGCTGCCAGACAGTGATTCAAGCGTGCCCTCTGACGTATCTTAATAAAAACCAGAAAAATGGTAAGGATTTTTTTTTTTGAGTTATCAGACTATATTAAAAAAACTTGTTACATGTATTTAACAATTTCTTTTTCTTTTTTTTCTTTTCTTAAATAAATAGCAAAGTGTCACCAAAATGAATGGAATGCCGGCACCATTCCATCAGTAGAAACTTCCGTACTAGGATGAATACACAGTCATATTCTGGAATCTTGCATAAAAAGATGTTTTGGAGGAAAAGTGGTGGCTGCTGGTGCATCTTAGGTGGTGAAAGCATCAACCCGTGAATAGTCCATGCAGCAGTATCGTGGTGTGGGGCCTTTGCAAAATCTCACCATCCTGAACCAGGCAGCTGCAGCGATGGCCTTGGTAAGACTCTGCAAGAGAACAACTCGCAGGACGTTGACTTACCACCTGCTATTAAAAGCAACGCAGCCGATGCTGTAATGCAAGGGGCTGACCATCTCACTCTCTAGGCAGAACACTAGCTTTAAGCAAGGGAAATGAACAACATTAAAACCAGGCTAACACTCAGCAGGGAAAGACTAACACTCAGCAGGTAAAGAGCTTGGAGAGTTGAAGCTGACAACTCCTTAGTCAAGAGGGAAGGATGCAACTATTCACTGTTCCATTGAAGGTTACAGTACAAGGCATCTCCTTTTGATGGGTTTCCCTGGGCTGAGCTGGTGTTATTTTTAAGTCTGATCAACAGCCTCTCTTCAAACCGGGACAAAGCTTAAAAAGGGCAGTGCTGAAGGAAGACCAGCAACTCAGAGCCACAGAATAGTTTGGGTTGGAAGGGACCTTAAAGATCATCCAGTTCCAACCCCCTGCCATAAGCAGGGACACCTTCCACTAGACCAGGTTGCTCCAAGCCCTGCCCAGCCTGGTCTTGAACACTGCCAGGGATGAGGCAGCCACAACTTCTGTGGGCAACCTGTGCCAGTGTCTAACCACCCTCATAGCAAAGAAGAACATGCAGCACACCAGACAGATCCCACAATGGCATCTGCTGCCTTTAACTCACTCCACTGTGCGCAGGCAGCACTGCCTGCCCGCTGCCTGCCAGAGTGGCCGCCCCTTCACGCACTGGAGCGCAGTGAGCTAAATCTCACCTCTCTGCTTCTGTTGGCTTAAACCAGACCCTCGTTATTTTAAACAGAGTTTATTGTATTTAATACATTATAAAATTTGAAAAAATTGTAGGAAAGCAGCAGATTCAAACCAGAGCATCTCTACCAAATATTAATTATTCTGGCCCCCTTTGAAAAAAAAACACAAAACAAAACAAAAACAAAAAGAAAAGCCAACAAAAAAACTCATTCAAAAGAAAAGTTAACCTTTCACATCTGTGAGGGCAGACAAAAAGTGTGCGACTTCTGTACAAACTACATTTAAAATTTCAGTCGACTAGCTTTCCACTGCAATGGATGGTCATCTCCTGAACTCCTGCCCATCCACCTCTAAAAAAGACAGACATAAACCTCCATATGCAAATAAAGTTGAGTCAAAGTGTGTACACATTAAAAAGTGGGTGGCTGTTTGGCAATGGAAAATGGGTGAAGAGTAGTCTGTGCATCCCCCAATGGTAATGGCTTATACACCGTTAAGTGGGCCCGACTAGGGCCTAGGACACTTAATGGCCATCACAGCACCAATCTCACCTACCACTTTTTTGTTGTTGTGTTTCCTACCCTTTGACATATACATACATATATATATGTACATACATACATATACATACATATTTTATATATATATGTGTGTGTTTTCTTTTATACCTTGAGGTTATTATTATTACTACTATTCCAAATGTTCCCATATGAATTCAGGTGTGGTCTCTATATTTGATATAAATGTGTCTTTTATTCAATTTTTGTTCCAGGACTTGTTTGGAATCCAAACTGCACATGAAACGTCCCCCTTTTTTTTAATCCTTTCTCTCTTTTTTTTCTCTTTTTTTTTTTTTCCATAAAGAAACATGTCCATTTTAGTCCAGAGGCTCTTGTTTTATTCGAATGACGGAGGGTGCACGAGATGTCCTTCTGAGTTCTCGTCTCAGTACATATTCACTGAATTGGGAAGAGTCCACCCCACCTCCACACGAGCCAACAATCTCAAACCCTCTTTGCTGTAACCTCTCAAGTACCTGCAAAAAAGAGGAAACAAACACTGATGTATAAGTAAATAGACTATTTGCTGCCCTAGGATGATAACTACTGTTTTCAAATGGATTCAGCTAGAAAACAAAAGAGGTTACACAGATCTGCTAACTGCTTCCCTCAGCTTCATTGTATTGGACTGGTTTATGCTCACTTTGGCCACTGAGCAATAAGAAATAAAATGAAGAAAAATATACTTTATATTTTTGGTCCTGCCAATGAATCCTGAATTCTTCTGGCCACAGAAACACACCTGGAAAAACGCACTCTCTGCTTCACAAAATTTACAATACAAAAGGGCAAATACAGGATTGCACAGTGGATGTTGGAGGATGCTGAGCAAACACCTCAACCAAATGGTGACAATGCAGATACTGTGGTCATATTTCAGAAAAGTTACCACCGTATTTTCTAGAGACTTCAAAACCCAACCACAACTATGAAGGTTTGTGGCTACAGTTACCTGTGGTAAAACCTGGGACCTATTAACTTTAATTACAGGAGTAACGAGTTCTCCCTATTCACTTTTTTCCTCTCCCTTTTCACAACCTGAGTGCTGCTTCCAGTGGGAAATACAATGACAAGAGAAAAAAAACAGGAAAAAAAAATACACAAGCTAAAAAGAAGAGTGAGGCAGAGCTCTCGGGGCAGCAGGAGGTTGCACCCAACACAGCTCACCTGACAAATGACAGTGCAAAGACCTCAGCTCCCAGCATCAGCTCCAGGCTGCTAAGAACATGGTCTTCTTCCACACCACTATTCCACTATTATTCTTATTTTCTGAATTACTCATGCATGCTGGTACTGTAACCGCAGTGCTGACGCATTCTTTCCCCTCGTTGCTACTTTTGTCATCATTAGAATGGTTTGGGTCGGAAGGGACTTTAAAGATCATCTAGTTTCACCCCCTCTGCCATGGGCATGGAACGAGACCAGGTTGCTCCAAGCCCCGTCCAACCTGGCCTTGAACACTGCCAGGGATGGGGCAGCCACAGCTTCTGTGGGCAACCTGTGCCCATGTCTCACCACCCTCACTTGTTGTGCTGCCTGGGTTTCCTTTGCCTCACCTTTACCTGTGGTAAAGCCCCTCAGAATCAGTTGTGATGGCCACCAGCCCCAAGGTGAGGGAGGCTGATGCTCCAACATCCTACAGGACAGGGGACCCTCTGTCCAGCATGACTGGACTTCACCGGGGTTGTGCTGGAGTGGATGCCTGACAAGTCTTTCCCAGCTATTTCACCCATTAGCAAACTGGCTTGCATGTGTGCTGGGAAAGCAAGGGCAAGCTGAGCTGCAGGCAGCTATACAGGATTAGGGTGGGAGGAGAAGCAAGCTGTGGGTTAAAAATGCTTAAAACCAAGATATGCCACATCTTTACATGTATTCTTCAGGTCAGCAAATGTCTTTCCAAAATACCCGAGCAGGGCTAGCCACACAGCAAACAAATCTTAGAAAGGTGAGGGTGGGAAAAGAGACTCATAAGCAACCATCAAAACTTCTGTGCAGTTTTTGTTTATCCTGATCTTTAGCTTCTAATAACATAAGCCAAAAGCCCCCTCCCAAATGTCTCAGTACAAGCCATTGAAAAATAGACTTCCTACCTGAACTGAGTTGAGGTGACAGTATCCATTCAGTGGAAATCGGATGACATGCGTTGAGTCGTGATTCCAGCCGGCGTTGACAGAATTACACATCACGTCACCAATTTCTGGAAACACTTCTTCTATCAATGACTTATCACCACTCAGTGTAATCCTCTCTCCAAGATCTGGGGCAACTCGCACCACCAGGCACTCACAAGACTTTGAGAAGCGGCCACTCTCCCGGTCCTGTTTCCACCTTTCCATCTCTCCTAGCATAGGTTGAAGCTGGAAATACTTTGCTTCTTCATATAACAAACTGTAGTCCTGAAAGACACATATTACTGTGCACAATTAAGAAAGAGGCATTGCTAATGTACCCCTTAATGTATATAATTATCCAGGCTAACACCACTCTAGATCTGGAACCCTTCAGACATAGTTTGTAATTACTGTTCAGGAAGGTAATAATAAATAAAATAAAAACCAAATAAAATAACAGTGTGAGCAAAAAGAAACCATCAGCTGCTTGAAGCAGACTGGGTATAGCAGCACTCACGAGGGGAGGGAGAGGCTGTGTTTGCTCAACTCTTTCCTGCTATGGAATAATCCAGGCAAAAATCCCACTTTTCCCCATATTTTCTCCCCACAGTGATGTCACAGAATAATGACCTCATTGAACAGATGGAAAAGAATTCAATCAGGATTCAGAAAATTCATCACTAGGATCCATCATGTCTTACAGCAATACTAGCGGGCATTGTAACAGGTATAAGAATGTAAATGAGGAAGCCTGCAATGGTTCTTAGTGTAAAATGATGCAGATATTTGCATAATGGATTGCACATATTACTGCATGTTAAAAATTAAGTATTTTTTAATACCTCCCCATTTTGCCAACAGTATTGTTTACTACATTGTCTCAAATGCCAGAGCAGAGAGAACACATTTCTAAGCATAGCCAATACATGAAGGAACTCAGAAGTGATGATGTGGAGTCTGTCTACTGCCATTTTTTTAAATTAAAAAAGAATAAAATAATAAAATTCTTGCTTTTCTAGGCTTAAGAGCATGAGCCCCTTTGGAAAATATTTTTACAGAGAAAAGCAATACATGAGAATTAGGGAAGTCAGAGAAAGAGAGTGACAACACAAGAAGACTGCTAACAGTCAATACAGCCCTGAATTTAAGCTAGAAATCAAACACTTGACAAGAATGGGATGTCTAAACGCTAAAAAATACTTAAAAATACTTAAAAATACACTACATGCTTCAAATACTGTGCATCTTTAATGTGCAACAAAAAAGCCTGCTGATCTGTGTATTTCTAAGAAATAAGGACTGCTGTTCATATTGAGCACTGATCTTTTGGACACCTTAAAGCATAAGAGAAGGATACCTCTGAACATCATTTTGGTTGGCCCAGCTACAGTGTATTTTTGTGTGTTCAAAAGGCTCTGCATATATGATTTCTTAATATTTCATGGAAGGTGGCTTTTCCTTTATTTCTGATTTCCTTTGGGACAAATGCTGAGAGAAGCACAAAGCCATGCTAAGGCTTCATAAGATAACAGGAAAGGCTTCTGTAGGTACGCAGC